GCGTCTTGTCAAGTCTTTACGATTGTATGTCTTTGACTTCACTTCAAGTACCTTCGTTATTGGCAAGTTTTTCTTCGTCCTCCTTTGTAGCAGTTGGAACATTTTTAATTTTGATTTGCCATTTGCAAACATCAAAGACATAGAAACGTAAAGACTTGACCAAGGTATATTTAATAAGGTAGCCGCATCGGCCCAGCTGTTGGACAAATAAATGTCAAAAATGTTGTAATGTTGAACCAAAAAATTAAAAAACAAAATTATAAATGAAAATATATTCACTACTTATTTCAATCAACTTAATAAAAATCTGGATACTATAAAGAGACTTTGAAGACCGCGAAAAGAAAATCAAAGTCCCTTCATATATTTCGATTTGCACGAAATTTGGCACCGGGTAGTGAATTAGGTCCAGAATGATATGTGCTAAGTTTCGAGAAAATCGATTCAGATTTTATATAGCTCTCATATATAGTTTTGTCAGATTTTATGTAAAAGGTGCACCAAAGCCCCCCATTCTCGGTGTCATATTTTTTGTTATTCCGATCTACTCTTGAAGATATAGCCGATTAATTGAGTCAGCATCAAGTGACGGCAAGAGTGATTCTTAAACGCATTTCTCGAATCCTAATAATCCAATCGGTTTATTAGTACCCAATTAATAATAATAAAACATTTTTTATATTTTTTTGTTGTTGTATAATTAATTTATTTATTGCCATAAACTTAATAATTTTGTGTTTTTATTTTTTTGGGAAGATTTTTTTTGAGGCGGAAATAAAAATTTTGAAGTGACGGAGGATATTTTAGCCATAAGTAAAAAAAATAGATTAAAAACCAGTGAGCCGAGCAGTATAGTCGAACGGGGCCGACCATATGATACCCTACACAACTTCAACGAAAATTTGAATTCCTGTAGTTCTATATTCTGAGCTTGAGCAATATTTCGCAATATTTGCACCCTCTTGGCCGACTAGAGGTAAACAAATATTCAGTACAGCCCTTCTAAGTGCTTGTCCAGATTCCCTTCACCGTGGGTTGTGTTGTGCTATTCGGCCTGTGGCCTACAAATCGACTCGTAAAAACACAAAAAAATAAGTTTTTGGTCCACTTCAGCCCAAAATTATTATCTGATCATCACCGAAAATTAAAGGCGTTGTCCTTGACCATAACTGCAACCTCATGGAGCATTTCAAAGCGATCACCCCTATATTTCCGCCCTCCAGTGTGGTAATGGTTTACTAAATAATATTTGAATACCTAAGCACCTGTTAATAATTAAGTGTAACTCCCGCATCCGAGTACATACGATAATATAATTGGTATAAATTTAAAGGTCAACCACTCTAATCGCAATAGAACACAAATTTTGTCATTTTTCACACAAAAGTCAGGGTCTATTTGACCCGCTAAATATTGACCGATCTTTATCAAAACTGGCATGTTTATTCTTTGCCCCGATCCCATTCTCCGTGTAAAAATTCGCAATGTTTTGTGAAGCGACCAGAAAACCGACAAAAATAAAGTGTTTGGTCCATTTCATCCCCTTAATATCAACTGATCTTTACCAAAAACCATAGGGATCTTCATTGGCCAGAAGAACCCATCCTACATGCAAAATTTCGTGAAGATTGGTCCATAACTGTGGCCTTTATCGTGTTTACAAATTATAATGGACAGACGGACGGACGGCCACACATGTCTAGATCGACTCAGCTAGTCGAGATATGACGATCGGTATACTTAACGGTGGGTCTAGGACCAACACGTCGCGGCGTTACAAACTCTTGGGGCTGCACAAAACTATAATACCCTGACATACCCTGAAAGCATTGTTCTTTTGGTATTCATGGGTCATTATTTGAATACGTATCATAATTTTCAGGCATCCACATCAGCAGGAAATAAACATATTGCAAACAAATTAAAAATTTATAAACAATTTATAAAATTTGGAAAAGTTACTTCAGTTCAACCATTAGAGCCCAATCAGCCTTAATTAAATCATCACGGAAGTAATCCTTGCAAGCATCGAGACCTTCGCCAACTTATCATCAGCTTGAAAATGACGGCCAAACATTTTTGGTGATTCACCGGGTATGGGTTCACTTTTAACCCAAATCTCCAGACCTTTGCGAGGGAATGAGGTGACAATGCCAAGTATTTTGTTAAGTATTTTTTGGTGAGAGAACATCAAAAAGTGCATTTTCCATTAAAATGTGTAGCCACAAATTTGACACTAATATTGGAAAATGCGTCTTGTCAAGTCTTTACGATTGTATGTCTTTGACTTCACTTCAAGTACCTTCGTTATTGGCAAGTTTTTCTTCGTCCTCCTTTGTAGCAGTTGGAACATTTTTAATTTTGATTTGCCATTTGCAAACATCAAAGACATAGAAACGTAAAGACTTGACCAAGGTATATAATAAGGTAGCCGCATCGGCCCAGCTGTTGGACAAATAAATGTCAAAAATGTTGTTGTAATGTTGAACCAAAAAATTAAAAAACAAAATTATAAATGAAAATCTCCGAATTTCGAATAGATTTTTTGGCAATGCTTTTATTAACATTTTCTACAAGAATTTGTGTAAAAAAATCTTGTCAATCTGTTTGTTTTGGCAATATATTTTTGACATATAAATAATAAACAACCGAAATTCGCCGATGCGGCTACCTTGTATAAAAAAATGGTGAATAAAATGTAAATATATGAAAATGAACTTATATTCCATAATTGCTTCCAATTTATATAACTACAACATAGCGCTTTAACACGATTAACATTGTTTGCAATGTTAAAGCGCTATGTTGTAGTTAGTCTGCTTTTCCACAGGCAAATTTTTATTTGGCAAATACTGAGTTTGTAGGCGAGGGGTGCGAGGAAGAAAAACAAAAACTTGCCTGTTCAGAATTTGCCGTACACGCAAATTCTGCTTTGCTCTGTTCGTTGAAAACAATTTTGTTGGCATTTCCTTTTGAACCTATTCGCTTTACTGACACACAGCCGGCTTTTGTTTACAAACCAGTTGCTTTAATTTGTGCAAGTGAAATTTAATTTTTAATATTTTCAATTTATATAATAAAATATATAAAAAATAAATAAAATATTAAAAAAATCTTTAAAATGCAAAAACTTTTCACGTTTTTTTTTCTTTCTTTTGTATTTTGATTCGCAAATTTGGCAAAGAAAAATTTGCTAATGGAAAAGCAAGCGAAAATTTCAAAAGAGAAAACAAAAAATTTGCCAAATAAAAATCTGCCTGTGGAAAAGCAGACTTATATAAATTGGAAACAATTATGGAATATAAGTTTGAGTCCAGATCTTTTCATTTATTTGCATTTTATTCATCTTTTCCCGTTTTTTATTTACATATCTTATTCACGTTTTTTTTATTTACATGCCTCTGTTATGCCAGAAGCCCCCTACATATGTTTCGATAAACTATTTTTCCAAAATGCATTTTGTCAAGTCTTTACGTTTCTATGCCTTTGCAAACAAAACCTGACGAAATTACCTTTATTCCGGTGTTGTATTTTATTAGTCAGTAGTCGCAAGTGAAAATTTTTTATTAAAAAAATCCCTTCTCAATATCTTTGAAAATTTCATTGTTGTTTCGACACGAAAATAATGCATGCTTCAAATTTATGAGTTTTCAATTCTACTTTACACTCAATTCCTTGTTTGTTCATTAAAAGTTTAGTTTATTGTTTGCCGACTGCGAAAATGAAATAAAATAAAGTACAATTATTTGTTGCAATGAATAAAGAAACAAAGTAGAATTGGCAAATACAGGTATGACTGTTCATTTTATTTTATTCCTCTCGCCTTCTTCGTCCTTAAACTCAAATTTCGTTACATAAAATTTGCATATGTGACTACTAACCTAATATAATGATTGCGAGCATTATTATAATATATCGAGATATAATATGCTTATTTTTCTTTGAAAAATCATCTAGATTTAGTAATCAATGTAACCAAAAGTGCAAATATAATCCACTGGATTTATGAACATGATTTATTTATATGTAAACTATTAAGGTGACGTATACGCTATGGAATTGACATTTGAGATCGAGTGGATTTCGTAGTCTAAACGTACAGTCTAACGTACGTTACTCAAATCTATCAGCAAAAGTTATTTCATAAAACTGATAAGGTTTTTAAAATTACTGTAGTGGGGAACCCGATCTATGAACGCCTACTTTCATGTAATTTGTTTCATGAAATCACTTTAGTGTGAACTGGGACTAACAGTGAATTTACATTTAACCATGTGGGTTTTAATGATCAATTCAATTGTATATATGTCAAATAAATCCACATAGAAGAGGTTTATAACCTCTTGATTGAAAGAAACAAATTCTTTCGTTTGAAATATATTGAATGTGAAAACAAAAATATGTGAAAACAGTTGACAATTTTGGTTCATTGTGAGAGAGTTGTATTTTTTTTTGTACAAAAACTGTGTTGCATTACAATAGTATCATGATTTCGCTCACGATTTAACATAAACAATTATTTAAATTTATATGATAAATCATTGTAAATTCAGCATGATTAAGGAAATAAACCATGATTATGCCTTTAATCATGATCAAAAGTTATATGTAAACTCGCTTTAACCCGGTAAAATGTTCTAGTGTACATGTCGTTTAATGCAGTCAATTGTATACACTCTCAAAATATTGCGCATATCGGTAGGATGTCTTTAAATATTTCGTAAATTGAGTCCATTTTTAATCTCATATTTAAATACTTAAACACAAATGTGTTGAAATGCTGCCACTATTGCATTTTATTAGATTATGATTTAAAAAAAATAAATCATGTATTGTAAATCATGATAAATTTAACATGGGTACATTTACATACAACGGGTTTTACGAAAATAGTCATTTGTTTGACACATAGGCTTTAATGTGTAAATGATTACAGGTTATTAGTCGAAAGTAGTCACAAACGTGAATGGCTATCGGTTAATAAAATCAATTGACCTGCATCAACAATCATTTTGAATTCAAGCATCAACGATACAATTCAAGCATCAACGGCGTACCTTTCTATTTTGTTCTATTGGCATTTTTTCTTTTTACAAGGTAAGTAAACGTTTTATATTTTATATTATATTTTGTATTTAAAAAATACACAATTTTAGTCGTTGTTTTTTGTGATTTAATCAATTTTCTTTTTGATAGGACGAGATTTATCCTCACTAGAAAACCTGACAAATTCTAACAAGATTAGAAAGATTACATGTCTGGCACATCAAAAAAATTGGATTTTTAACTTCACAGACAAATTAACAAATTAGCGGACCTTTGAAAATTTTTCTTTGAATTTAATCAAGTCAAGCATCAACTATCGGCGTACCATTGGTATTTTGTTCTTTATACAAGGTGAGTAAACTGTTTTATATTATTGGCCTCTTCCCGTACTGCAAGAATCTACTGTTTTACTATTTTTGATGTCATAAAGGAAAAATTCTTATCATAGTAAAACATTTTACATTCTTGCAGGTTCTGAACAGACATATACATATATATTATATTTGTATAACTTTGTAAATTTGTCATTCTGTTTGCAACACCTCCAAATATTCATCAAAGACTCCATAAGGTATATATTCCGTCTGTTAAAATCACGATATCACTCGCATTCACATTTAGATATAGCTCCCATATATATTTTCGGCCGATTTCTCCTAAGTGGTGCACCACAGCGCCAAGGCGTGGAATTTTTTTTAATTTATTTATTATTATTTCATTATTTATTCAAATAATATAAATTAATATACGCCTTCACTTTGCCATTGAAAATCAGGACCCAGTCGTAATCAGGACCCCGTGTGATAACCAGTAAGGAAAGTAGTAAAGTCGGACGGGGCCGACTATATGATACCCTTCACCACTTGGGGTATATTCAACAGATGGATCCTAACAGACGTCGCATTTTTAAAGGATCAGTAAAATGAAATTGGATCTATAAACAAGTCATTCTGCAACTGATACTAATTTGTTCATTTGGTCAGATATAGAAGCTATATCTAAATCTGAACCGATTTCAGGAAACTTAACACACATCATTCTAGACCTAATTCATTACGCGGTGCCAAACCGAAATATATTAAGGGACTCTGGTACACCATTTACCTTAAATTGGCCGGAAATATATATGGGAGCTATATCTAAATCTGAACCGATTTTCACGAAACTTAACACACATCATTCTAGACCTAATTCATTACGCTGTACCGAATTTCGTGCAAATCGAAAGATATATAGGGACTTTGGTGCACCATTTACATTAAATCGGACGAAAATATATATGGGAGCTATATCTAAATCTGAACCGATTTTTCCCAATTTCAATATTCTCAAAAGGAACCATGTGTCTATCTCGTTTCCTTTTGCCTGTTGCAAACTTTTCATGATATTGGCCTTCAATGTTTATTTACGTGGATGCTACGTTAATGTAAAGTCTGTAAAGAAAATATGGATATATTAAACAGATGTACCCTAAAAGACGTCTAAATGTGAACTGACTTGGATCAATCCATAAACATGCCATTCGTTTGTTACACAATTATGTACATGGATTTAAAGCAAAACTCAATTGGACACCCGTTTAATATTTGAAGCTAATTAACAAGAAGTCAGTCGGAAATATATATTGGCTATGTCTGTACTTCTAAATAAGGCAAAATTGTGCAACATAAAATCGGACGAAAATATATATGGAACCTATATCCACATATGAACCGATTTCAACGAAACTTGTAACAGGAAAGGTTATACGATTTTCAGTACGTTTTGTTCCAATCGGTCATATTTTGGGTCCATGGTGCATTTACTTTAGATCGGACAAAATATATGTGAGAGCTATATCTAAATTGAACAGATTTTTTTCTCAATTTCAATAGGGTTTCATCCTTGGGCCATATAAATGAGCTGTGCCAAACTTCATCCAATTCGGATCATAAATGCGACATGTACTTTGTTTACAATTTAAAATGGACATAAATCGACTCAGAAAGTGATTCCATGCATATTCTCAAAAGGAACCTATCACTGTACCACAGTGTGGTGAAGGGTTTGTGATTTTGCTATCATTTTATTTATCGGGGTGTTAATATCATGTAGATTTTTTTTTAAATTAAATTTAGGGGATATATTTCTTTAACATAAATTTTAAATTATTTCGTAATCTTCTATATTTTCATTATTTTTCTCATATTTCACGAAAACGTGTATTTACGAAGGAAGCTATATATCAACGCTTTAGATCATAACAAGTGTAATTTTAAGATTTTTTTCTTCACAATTGACACCTCTATAACTTTTGCGCACACCAACCAAAAAATTGATCACGAACAGATTGAAATTAAGGACATTTCTGCGGATGTTTATTTCGAGACTGGGCAATATTTCGTAATATTTACACCCTCTTGACCGATTAGAGATCAACAGCACCTCTTCCTTACACTGACATATTTTCCGAATATTCCCTATATTCATTTCAGCCCTACTAATTACTTATCGTTATTCCCTTCACCATGGGTTGTGTTGTGATTTTCCTAAAATTATAGGCGTTGTCCTTGACCATAACTGGAACCTCTTAGATTATTTTAATGCTATCAGCGATTGACTTCTGCCCTCTTATGTTAATGTATTACCAAATAATATCTGAATACATAAGCACCTATAAATATTTAAGTATAACACCCACATCCAAGTACATACGACAATATAATTGGTATCAATTTAAAGGCCAACCACTCCTCTTGGACATACTGTCAACTTCTTGGGTCTATGTCTTTTAGGAGTAAATATATATGCCATAGAATACAAATTTTGTAATTTTTCACACAAAAGTCAGGGTCCATTTGGTTCGCTAAACAATGACCGGTCTTTATCAAAACCGGCATGCTTATTCTTTGGCCAGATCTCCATATGGAATTTTGTATAGATTGCATAAAATGTCCTATTTCATGTCAAAGATGCTGCGTCTGTCCAAAATCGTCAAAAGGAAAATTTCGCAGATGGCCTCAATTTTACTGATTTTGTTTAACTTTTACACGTAATAAAGAGACTAATAGAGTGTCCTACTTTTTATTTGGAATATTCCGACTAATATGAAAAAATAACAAGATCTCATTACACTCTCACTATTAATTGTAATTGTCCTTGATGAGGGGAAAGTTTCTTAATAAGGTTAATAATTTGAATCACGTATATATAGCAATAACCAGTAAGGAAAGTAGTAAAGTCGGGCTGGGCCGACTATATGATACACTTCACCACTTTGGGTATATTCTATATATGTATCCGAAAAGACGTCGCTGTACTGTTTAAAATTTAATCTCAATCAGACACCCATTGATAATTTGGTGTACAATCAACATAAATAAGTCGAAATTATATATGGAAGCTGAACCGATTTCGAGCAAACCTGCCACAGATTAATTTATATTAACTTCAGTACGTTGTGTCAATCGGCCTAGCTATGGATCTTTAGTTCACAATTTACTTAAAACCATCACATTATTCTAGACTTAATTTAGTACGCTATGCCACAATTTTTCCCAATCAAAAGATTTGCAGGGATTTTGGTGCGCCATTTACCTAAAATCGGGCTAAACTATATATGGAAACTATATCTGAACCGATTTTCACGAAACTTAGCACACATCATTCTAGACCTAATTCAGTGGGCTATACCAAATTTGTGCAAATCGAAAGATATATAGAGACTTGTGTACGCCATTTACATACAATCGAGCGATACTATATATGTGAGCTATATCTAAATCTGAACCGATTTTCACGAAACTTGGCACAAGTCATTCTAGACCTAATTCAGTACGCTATACCAAATTTCGTGCAAATCAAATCATTTTCAGGGACTTTGGTGCACCATTTACCTAAAATCGGTCGATACTATATATGGGAGCTATATCACAAGTCATTCTAGACCTAATTCAATACGCTATGCCAAAATTCGTGAAAATCAAATAATTTTCAGGGACTTTGATGTACCATTTACCTAAAATCGGCCGCAACTATATATGGGAGCTATATCTAAATCTGAACCGATTTTCACGAAACTTAGCATACATTCTAGACCTAATTCAGTAGGCTATACCAAATTTCGTGCAAATCGAAAGATATATAGGGACTTAAGTACACCATTTACATAAAATCGGGCGATAATATATATGGGAGCTATATCTAAATCTGAACCGATTTTCACGAAACTTAGCACAAGTCATTCTAGACTTAATTCAATACGCTATGCTAAAATTCGTGCAAATCAAATCATTTTCAGGGACTTTGGTGCACCATGTACCTAAAATCGGCCGAAACTATATATGGGAGCTATATCTAAATCTGAACCGATTTTCATGAAACTTGGCATACATCATTCTAGACCTAATTCAGTAGGCTATACCAAATTTCGTGCAAATCGAAAATATATAGGGACTTTGGTACACCATTTACCTTAAATCGGACGAAAATATATATGGGAGCTATATCTACATCTGAACCGATTTCAACAAAACATAACATATGCTATAATAGGGTTAAGCTGATACGTTGTGCAAAATTTCGTGGCCATCGGATAAATATTGGGTATGTGGTGCACCATTTAGTTAAAATCGGCCGAAAATATATATGGGAGCTATATCTAAATCTGAACCGATTTCAACAAAACTTAACATATGTTATAATAGGGATAAATATTGGGTATGTGGTGCACCGTTTAGATAAAATCGGCCGAAAATATATATGGGAGCTATATCTAAATCTGAACCGATTTCAAAAGAAAATAATTCACGTCATTCTAGATTAAAATTTGATTCGCTGTGAAAAATTGCGTCGCAATCGGAGAAACATTGCATCTTTGGTATACTATCAATTTCAATAGGGTTCGTCCTTGGGCCAAATAAGCAGGCTCTTCCAAATTTCATCTCATTCGGACAATAACTGCGACCTGCATCAGTTCGCAATAATACATGGACAGACGGACGGACGGACGGACATGCATAAATCGGCTTAAAAAGTGATTCTAAGTATATCTCAAAAAGCAACTATGGGTCTATCTCGTCTATTTGTGCATGCACAAAGACATAATACCCTGTACCACAGTGTGGTGTAGGGTATACAAATCAAGCATCAACAGAAGGCGTGAATTTTTTTAAAAATTTAAGAAGCAAACATCAACAGAAGCCGTTGATTTTTTAAAATTATGTTTTCAAGGACGTCGATTTATTGAAGAATATTTTCAAAGACGTGGATTTATTAAATAATATTTTCAAGGACGTGGATTTATATAAGAATATTTTTCAAGGACCAACTGAAGGCGAGGATTTACATAAGAATATTTTTCAAGGACCAAC